TTCACCAATTCTTTCCCATCTTCATCGAAATAAACTTTCAGTTTGAGAGCTGTGAATAATTTCCCCTGTGTTACAATCCCTAAGGTGATACTCAAAAACTCCTGCCAGTCTCTTCCCTCCAAACTATACCCCTGAAGCTGTGGACCCAGACTGAGCTAATAGGAAATTATCAAAGGGATGCTTGAAATGAAGAACATTTCTGCTGCCTGCTTTCTGCAGTTCCACTTCTATTCTATTTTGACCATTACTGTTTTCAACTCCCTGCCTCCCTAGGGCAGAAGTCCTGGGTCACATCCTGCAGAAATCTCACCCACCCTGTGCTTAGAGCTCTATTTCACCATTGACTCTACCTGCTGTAGGTGAAGGTGCTTCACAGGGAGAGGGACCAGCTCAAGACTGCGGAGACTGCCCTGCTCTCCCAGCCAGGATGCCGAGCCCCACATACCAATGCTGACATGGGGGCACTGATATGGGGATTTCAGTTCAGTTCAGCTCAGTTCAGTTCAGTTCAGTTCCCTGTAAAAACAGCATCTCTGCCCTCCTGAAGGAGTGCTCCAAAGCCCCATTTTGTTGGTCAGATTTCCCAAAGACTTGTACCTCCCCAGGTACCCACCTTAGTAGATATCACTACTAGAACTGTCACAAAGACCCCGAAGGAAAGAGAAAACGTTAGGCTTTTGCTGGCGTGCTTCAAATCTTTGATACAGCTGGGATGGAGGGATGAGTTTCCTTCTGTGCTGCACCACCATTAATGAGATACCACTGTCCTCCACGCCCTCATTCATTGTCTTCTTAATTTTGTCTTTGCAGCCTAAATTGTAGTCATCTTATAATGTCATCGCTGGTATGAAAACCATCCTGCCAAGTTTCATGCACTCTCTAAAGGTCACGGATACCCATTAATTTATACCACATTCGTTTTTTGCTCTTAATTGCCCAAATACTTTCCGCATTTTACATACATGTTTTCTGGGTTATGTGACACCAAAATATTCTTCACTGTCTGTCGAAAGGAAATGCCTTCTTCTCACTGCCTTGAGTATCTGAAGTTCTCATATCAGTCTGCATTACTTTCAATCCCTCCATCTTACTCTTTAATTTACAGATTATCAAACTAGATGGGGCAATTTTGAACTTTGTATATGTTTTGTACATAAGGCAGGATGGTGCACAATCTCTTTTATGAAGCATTCTAGTAATCTCTGGATTCAGAAGATTTTTGCCTGTGTCAATTTGTGTCTTTGATTTGTCTTCATTTTATTTTAATCAGAACTGGCACAGGGAAGTATTTCAGTCTGTTTTGACCCATTGTACCTTCAATCCTAGAAATCATCTTTTTGGCACATTTGATTAAAATGGATCAATTAAAGGTGACACTTTGCCATCCCTTGACATAAACTCGTCACTTTTGGTCCCATCCCCTATTTTAGTTCCCTAGAGTCACGGCACCATTAGAAGATTTTTTTTTCTGTAATCAAACTGTGATAATTCTTTTTATAATGGTGCAATTATCTACTCTCTTCTGGTTTCACCTTAGCACGCTCAGTGAGTCATAGACCTTTACATCTACTGCATCTACGCCCACTGATGATCAACAAGGAGCGACAGTCCCTGGGATTCATTCGCTTTCCACAATGGGTTTATAAGGAAGGAAGCACCTGCTTAGAACTAGACACCCTTCAGTATAAGTGCTGAAATAAAAAATACAGAGAAGGAGTGTACTGCCTAGCTTATTTATTCGTTTGCTTCTGATTCCCAGTAAAAGAAGATCTAACTCTTTCTCTCCTGACAGTATAAAATGTGCTGCAATCACTATTGTTACTATTACATAAAAGTAGTATAAATACCACAAATCCAGCTCTAGTTCCTTAAACAATCCTGTGCTTCCTTTCACTATTCTTATGCGTTCCTCTTATGGAAAAGAGGACCCAGGGTCCTCCAACCCAGGGCTTGAAAAGTGAAGCTCACCTGCAGGGCTAGCATCATGGTGACCAGTGTCTTTTCCCTAGAACAGAATCAAAGGAACCAGATTAAAAAGATCAGCACCTCGTCTTACATTTAGGAGTAATGTAAGTAACAGCTTCGGTGCAGTTGTTGAGCGAGAAGGTTTTTGATAGGCTCATTTTTTCAATTTTAAGTCATGTGTCGGGGACATAACTGAACCACACTGTGAGAAATTCTTGTTTGCTAAACCATCTATCATTCCTGTCATGGACCAACTTTGGCTGTTAAGCAAACAGGATTTCTTTTGAGTCCTGGCTGATCTTCCCTTAGAAATCTTGAGAGTGGTACATAATTTCTGCTCTGTGACTGTCTAGCCGGAGCTGAGAACAAAATAAAAAATAAATTAATAAAGAAGGAAAAAAACCAATTGAAATTACTTTCATTTGGCCATGTTCCTGCCTCTTTTGTGTTTGCTTTCCATGTATATACGAAGGAATGAATTTTGTTGTCAGAATTACTCATGAAAACCAAAGTTCAAAGTGGTGAGCGCACGAACAGCATGCACAGAAGCCAAAATGTAAATGTGCATGTCGAAGAATTCATGCCAGAAATTCTTGCACATTCATGGAATGTGACTCTTCTGACCAGGCTCAAGCAAGCAAGGTAACGTCAATCTTTAGCGGCTGCTGCTAATCCATACGGTAAAAAGCCCTGACAATATGGGTTTTCTAAGCTCATTTCAATAATGAATACATTCAAACAGACCACAGTGCTTTTTCCTTCCCCGGGCAACAACCAAATGTGTTTTAACTACACGCAATCAATGCAGCAGCGAACTTGGGAAGGCAACGGCTGAAAAGGAAATCTGGTCTTGTGATGTGATCCCACTGTGATTTGGGAAGTACCGAGCTTTGTCACAGCCTTCTTAGAGAACCTGCGATAAATCCTGCAATCTCTTTGTTTCTCCACTCCCTGGTTATAAAATGGTGATAAGGCTGTTTCTTCTTTCCAGAGCTTGGAAGAAATATGTCTGCGTGGTACTTGGATACTGCAGGCGCCAGGATTGTACAAGCACTGATACAGACAGAATCATTTTTGGAAACCAAGCTGAGCGACTGTCACTTACACTCATACCAAAAGAGAATAAACCATAGCCAGGCAACCGGGTTGGTGAGGATATCTACTGTCACCTGTGAATCACTGTTTATTTCCATGTGTTTGGGCCATCAGAGACAAATCCATCCAGTGTGTCAACATTTCTGTCACTCCTGGCTTGTGAGCCAAGAATCAGTGAATAAAATGGGAAAACTTTGGAATGCATGACCTTTCAGTACTAAATATTCAGTCTAGGCCAGACAAATTCTAGTGTGACCATCATCTTCAAAGTCAGGACACTTTCTCAGAACACTAACCTATGATTCCTTGTGGCAAATATATTCCTTCTTAACCAGATCTATGCAAATCAACATGCATCCGAGAAGGACCAACTCTCCACGTCATGCAAGATCAACTGCCCATCTTGGGCCCAGACGGCACATTGAATGAGATCCTCAAGATGGACCACAGCCTGCATATGATCCACAGCCTACATATTTAAGAAAAAAAGTCAACAGACTACATCTATTTAGGAAAACAGTGCAACTTCCACAAAAATCAATAGATTTTTTTTTTCCTTTTCTGTCTTGGCACATGTTAAATTAACACTTTTCTTGAGCAGTCTCTTAACTCAGCTTCATAGCATTGCTCTCTTCAGTCTCTTCCTCACAGTATGTTTCAAAGACAGCCCATCCACAATCTCTCTTTTCCAGGAAATAAAGATTTTTTTTTTAATTTAGAAAACAAAGATCTTTCAAGTCTTAAAATGAATGCAAGTTAATATCATACCATCTCTAATTGCACAATATCTGAGAGCAGGTGATTTCAGGATTATAGAAGAATCTGGAAAATTACATAAGAATTCTCCTTCTGTTGTAGGAGCTTTAAAGTTGCACCTTCATTCAATCAGGAAGGTAAATTCCTCTATACAGCAAGTTTCAAATTCTACTTACGACCTTGGTGTTATGACAATTTGGATACTAACTGGTTCTGCACTAAGTATAACGACTAGAACTGTGAATAATCATCAAAATTAACTAGCCTATAAAGTGATTAAATAATTTCCTCCAATTTGCATTTGATATGTTTATTAAGTGCTGGAGGGTGTTATTTGCTCTCTTATTTTTACTGCTGTTAAACTCTATGTCTGGGTTTTTGGCATAGGTGCAGTACTATTACGGTTACTACAAAATTTTAATCAGATTACGGTATGAGTTACTATTTGATACTGTAAAAATGCCAGTAGGCAGTAGATAAATACTAAGATACAATTAGCTGCCACTGCCTTTTATTCTTTGGAATTCATTAATAGTGAGATAAGCCTGCATTCTGTGGCGATAGCAATTTTTTTGGGTGTTCCATTTCTTACAAACTACATTTTCTTACAAGTAATAGTGCAGGTAGTAAAACAAGAGAAAAGATGACTATAAACAAATATATATGGCAATATTAAAGCTACGAAAAATATGAAGTACTGCCTATGTGTTATTCCTTGTGCTTCGTTTGCCATACCATGGTCAACAAGACCCATTACTCACAACAAGTAATTCTTTGTGAGATGTTTTCATTTTGAACTGGATGAAACTGTTGCTGCTAATCATCAGTAAAACCCTGTGATTTTAAATGTGTTGGAAATCTGTGTTTTCAAATGCATGTCTTGAAGCTTTCTACAAGCAAGAGGTTGCTAATGCCAACGTACATTAGAAATGCAATTGTACTATACTTAGATGTGGTTCAACCACAGTTATAGCATGGGCCATTAAGGAGCATTAAAAAACAGAAAAGAAAGAAAGAAAAGAAAAAAAAGACAGAACAGAAAGAATCCAGGTTAAAAGGGAATATGTTCTGTTGCTCAGCTAAAAGATTTATCTATAATTAGAAAATAAAATTGTTCAAAATTAGACTAAATGGGTAAATCACAGAGAACACAAGCATACCGTATAGAAAAGATGCTTACTTACGTTTTCCCAGGTCTTGTGAAGGATTCTAAAGGCTTTCAGCATGGCTCAGGAAGCTAGCTCTGACACATTTAACTGGTGAGACTGTGGACTCCTCTCGGAATACTCACACCTGTTGGACAGGGAAAGTGAACTCTCATCTGCCATCCCCAATGTTTTTCCAGTGTCTTCCTGAAATGCAGCTCCTCCCGATCAGCTTTAAATCTTGAATAATCAAAACCACATGAGCCAAATGGCATAAAAATTAAATCTACAGTGAATAATACCAGGTGAAGGAATAATATATGTGGCCATGTGACTGCCTGCTTTCCTGGGCTGGAGAGAAGTGGGAAATGCCCAGCTGCCTTAGTTGGAAGCGACTCAAAACTTCATCCGCTTTGGTTCAGTTCTCAAAATAGGGCACATGACCTCTAAGTAAGACGGTACAGTAGGCTGCTTTTACACTGCATCATTGCTCCTGCAGCCCTAATACCATTTCCTGGCTTTATGAAGAATGGGAGGAGGTAAAATTTGACACTTGCAGAGTTTCAGTGTTACCTCGTTTTGTAATGCATGATCCATTGCAAATTTACCACTATCTTTAGGAGCAGAAATGACATCTGCTACAGAGTGGCTTACGCTTCTCTGTCTGCTGCTTTCAGTGTCATCTGTCTGACATGAGTTAACCTCTCAGAAAATCTAACGTGAAGGGAGAGAACTGCCCATCAGAGGTGTCTCTGCTGCTCCTCTTGACCTACTTGGAAAACTACGACTGGACTCTTTGTGGTTTCCCCCATCACGACACAGCTGCAGAAGGCAGTAATGGGACTGCTTTTAATGGATTTGGAAATGTGCCTTTGAACAGCATTATTTCCAAACCTTGCAAAGCTCATTTGTTATTTTATCAAACCCACTATAGGTCCCCCTTCTTTTTTTTCTTTTTTTTTTTTTTTTACATGGAATTGGTGCAATGGGAGAAGATAGCTTTTTCTCTTCACAGATAAAGATTCAAATTGTGTTTTACAATCTGACAATTATGTAGTTTGATTTTCTTAAATAAAAAAGATAATCTCCCTTCCCCGTTCAAGATGAGATCTTAGCTGTTAGTGACAGCTGTTAAAATGATGCTAAAAATAGATATAGTGTCAACCACTAAAAAGCTAAGTGCTCCTGCGAACCACAAGCAGAAAATAAATGAGGTTTCTCCTGAGTTTGTGGAAAATCTGTGAGCATCTTGCACGTACTGGGAAGGTGCTTTATGCTTGCAGCAGCCATCTCTGGATGTAACAAGAGATAACAAGATGTAACAAACATTTGGTATTAGGCAGAAGGTAGATAGACATATTCCTTCAATTTTATTTTCTCTCTCCTTTTCTTTCTTAAAAAGAAAACATAGAAAAGAGATGCAATAGAAAGACTGCAGCTACCTCCAGGCATTTCAAATGCCTTTTTCATTTAAATCTTTGCCCTGAGAAAAACAGGAGAGTAACAGGAAAAGTAAGACAAAAGAAGTGCAACCCATCAGACAAATACACCATCACTACGAATTAACATAAAATAGTTGTGCTCAGTATAGCAGTTATTGATAGACCATCCAACATGCTTGGGACCTTATTGCAGGACAGTGATTTGCTGGGTAACTCGCAGAGTTGCGTGGAACTTTCCTCTGCCCTGGAATTGCAGCCTCCAACCCATCTGCAGTAGCTCTGCTCGATTAATAAATTAGCTGCATTTCAAACCAGATGCATGACATGAAATGAGTGAAAAAGAGAGAGAACAGAATTGTTCGCATTTGATGCTATATCTTGGTAGGTTTTTCCTTTTTAGCTACATTAGGACTAAAAATAGAGCACTAGTGTAGGCACAGTGAAATATGATTTGCTTCCAATAATACAGTAAACTAATTGTGAAATTAAGCTATTGAATGTGCTGTTATCTCCAAGTCTGACCTTACCAGCAATTTATGCTTCCGTGCTTAACATTTATCACGTTGCCCACAAATTTTGACAGATGCAAACAACAGCCAATAAAATATCTGCCTTTTCCAAGGCCTCAATCTCACAGGGGCTTCAGCACAGGTAAAATTTCCTGTGAGAGTCCTTTTACACGTTTAAAGACTTCATTGAGGATATTAAAATAGGGCCAACTTTTTCCTCCCTACAATGCCTAATTTCTTTTCCTTAAGTGTTTAAATATAGAGACATTTAATGCCCTGAACTTAAAAATAATCAGTTTTAAAAAGGTCTTAGCCACAAGTGAAATATTAATTTAAAGCCGGTATCGGTGCTAGCACCGATTTTGTTGGCTTTTGGCGTTTGTTTTGCATCTGAACGTCTGAAATCAGGACACACTGCAGCCACAGGGACGCACCCCATCCCCTCTCTCCGTTAACCCGGGTCACACTGCGGGGCAGAGAGGGGCCCGGCTCCCCCTCCCTGGCAGCTGCGGGAGGTAGCGAGGGAAGGAGCAGGCCCAATGGGGGTGCACAGCCTCCTCCCGAACCGCCGTCCCAGGGCCGAGCTGAGCGGTCGGAGTGAGGGAGGTGCTGGGGGGGGCGGTGGGAAGGCTCCGAAGCTGCCGCCGCCGCCGCCGGGGCCGGGAGAGACGCTCCGCCTGGGGAAGGGCGCGGGGAGACACTCCTCCCCCACCGCCCGCCCTGCCTCCCTGCCGCCCGCCCTCCTTCCCTTCCTCCGGCGGCTCCGCGAACCAGGAACCGCGGCGGCGGCAGCGGCGGCGGGTTCCGTGCGTGAGAAACCCCGCGGCGCCGCGCCGCCGGGAGCCGCCGGGGCGGGCGGCGCGGGAGCGGACGACGGGGGCGGCGCGGCCGCCGGCCGCTGTGAGGGGCCGGGCGGCACCGGGAGGGCGGGAGGGGAGTGGGGGGGGAGGAAAAAGTTTACACCCTCGCCACTCTCCTCCCTCCTCTTCCTTGGTGGCGCAGATGGGAGTTTTACCTGGAATGACATAAGTTTTTTTATTCGGGGTTGGATTTTGCTTTTTGGAGGGTGTTTCTCTCCCTCGATCCCCTTTCTCTCTCCCTCTCCTAAATCTCCCCCCCTCCCGCCGGTGCTGGATCCACCCCCCGCTCCCCTCCGCCGGCGGGCGAGGGTGTGACCCGCGGGAACACCCACCCACCTAGGCGTCCATGGTGGGAGCTGTCCGCCCGGCTGCGCCGAGCCGAGTCGCGGGCACCCTGCTGCCGCCTCCCGCCGACCCCGCGAGCAGCGCCCTGCCTGCTGCCCGGCCCCGCTCCCGGCGTTTCCCCGCGCTTCCTCCCCCTCTTCCTCTCTCTTTTTTCCCCCCTTTCGGTGTCGGTGCGGGCTCCCGGATGGTTTGCACGCAGTAGCCGGGGGCCGTGCCTCCTCCCGCCGCGCCACCATGTCGTAGGGGAGGTGAGTGCAGCGCGGACTCTTGCGCGGGACGCGGAGCGGCGCGGGGGAGAGAGAGGCGGGCGGCGGGGGCCGGGCGGGTGTCCGCTACAGCAGCCGGCATATCCAGGTCACGGCCGGTCCCGTCCGCATCAGTGAAAACTTCGCGGGAAGGACACGTCCATAGCTCGGCAGCGGCCGCGCCAGCGCCGCTGGGAAGCGCGGTGGCGACGGCTGCTCTGCGGGTCGCGCTGGGATCCGCCGCCGCCTCCTCGGCCGGTGCCCGCCGGGGCCGTGAGTGCGGGTCGATGTTTGGTAGAACCTGCAAATGAGAGGGGCACGTGACACGCCAAATCCTGGGGATGTTTGCGCTGTCGCTGTGGTTGTTGAACACAAACCCCGCTCCCCGGGGCGAACGCGGACCTGCGCGCTTCTATGCGTGCGTGCGCGCAGGGGGTGATTTGGGAGGAAGGTGCGCGGTGCCCAGCGCGGTGCCGCCGCTCCCCGACGGGCTCAGCCCCACCGCCCCGCTCCCAGCAGCACCCCTGTTACCCCGCGGAACTGTCCCCGCCGGGTCGGGGCCGGGAGCAGGGCTCGGTGGGTGCTGGGGCAGTTTGAGAGCGTGCGTCAGTGGCTGCCGGCCGCTCGCCGGGGGTGTTATTTAGGAGCGAGTTGGGAGCGCATCGCCTCAAAGTTTGCTTGGCGTCTTTTTTTTTGGTGCTTCCCTGGGAAAAGGATATTCCTGCAGCAGGGACGCGGGCGCCGGGGGGGCACACCGGGCGGGAGAAGGGGGTGGCTGCATCCCGGAGCCAGGGGCTGTCCCGGTGACCCCTCTCGCTGCCCCTAGACGGGGGGGAGGCAGGGGCGGGGACGCCCGGAGGGATGCGCGGCTGCCGCGGAGCGGGGCCAGCGCGGCGGCGAGCGGAGGACGAGTCCTTGAACCCTCCCGCGATCCGCTCCTTTATTTTATTTCATTTTATTTCTCGGTTAAACCACCGCTACATATTCATGCGCCGCTGCAAGGCGGAAATCCCGGTCCGGCGGAGAGGCGATGCCTGGCCCTGCCGCCGGCGCGGCGCGGGAACCGTGGGGGGGGGCGGCCGCACCGCACACACCTCACCGGCCCTTGGAAGGGGCCCCCTCGCCTCCCCGCGACCCTTCCCCGGGGGCACGTCGGGGCGGGAGGTTTGGGGTCCCGGCGAGGCGGGCTACGGGGACTGCGCGGCGCTGCGCGGCCGCGGCTGCCGCTGCGGCTTTAAGGAGATGCGTTTTCCAGCCTGTGTCGCAGCAACTTTGTATCAGTCATGTCGCCCGGTGGGAGACTGACTTCTCTCCCCAGCCAATGGGGCGGCGGGCCGGCCCCAGTCGCGCGTACCTCCGCGTCCCGCCCGCCAATGAGGAAGGGCTGGGGGCGGGACGTAAACTTCGACTTTAGGTGGGCATGTGACATGTTTTTAAAGGACTTGGCACCTTTTCTCGTCCCCTCCCGGGTGCCGCTCCGTGTCACCGGGCGGCGCGGCACGGCGCGCCTCGCCTCGGGCGGGACGGAGGGGAGGGGGCTGAGCGCCGACCGCCCCTCCGCTCCGCGCCGCCCTCCGCTCCGGTCCGCGCCCCTCTGGCTGGGGCTCCGGGACTTTTCCCTCCGCAACAGTTACCGCGGGACCGGGGACGACGCGGGGGGCGGGGGGCACCCCGACCTGCACCCGGAGGTGGGGCTGGCGGGGCGTGGCGGGGCGGTAGGGGGCACTTTGCGGGTCGGCACCTGGGGGCACCCCTCAGTGCTCTCCGTGGGGAGTGGGGGGGGGGTGTTACGGTGGTTACCTGGACCCTCTCCACCGTGGAGGGTGGGGAGTGTTGCTTGCGCGGGAGAAAAACTGCTTTTCTGCATCGCTTTAGGGGCCGAGAGCGGGTTTGGGCTTTCCTACTCCCCCCCCCCCTGCATTATCTTCCCCGGGTCGATCCCCGGCGGACGCGTGCGAAGGACGGAGGGAGCTCCCGGGCACTGCTGGTTTTTCCCATGCGCGATAATCC